TAGGGGAGGCGTGTTAATGCTTTGGGGACGTATTCTTCCGATAATTTGAGTTCTTCTGAAAAATTTGATGAAATTAGTTGAAATGATATCGGCCAATTTTTTGTGATATCTCGACGCATTCGTGACGCACCGAAGACACATATGACGCGCTCGTGACGCACCAAAGACACACATGACGCATTCTTGATACACCAGAGTCACGCATGACGCACTCGAGACGCGCCAGAGACACATGACGCACTCTTGACGCACCAGAGCCACATATGACGCACTCTTGACGCACTAGAAACGCACATGACGCATTCGTGACGCATCCAATACACACGTGACGCACTCGTGACGCACGAGACATACGAATGGCGAACTCTTGACGCACCAGAGTCACATATGACGCACTCGTGACGCACTACAAACACACACGACGCACTCGTGACGCACCTAATTCACACATGACGCACGGGTGACGCACCAAAAACGCACATGACACACTCGTGACGCATCCAATACACACATGACGCACTCGTGACGCACCAGACATACAAATGGCGAACTCTTGACGCACCAGAGTCACATATGACGCACTCGTGACGCACTAGAAACACACGACGCACTCGTGACGCACCCAATTCACATATGACGCACGGGTGATGCACCAAATATACCCGTGACGCACACGTGACGCACCGAATATACTTATGACGCACTCTTGACGCACTAGACACGCAACAGTGGCACACTGATGACGCACCTGTGACGCACTATGGATTGAACAGTGACGCACCTCTGACGCATATGTGATGCAGTCGAGATGCATTCATGATGCACTTGTGACGCACTCGAGACGCATTTATGACGCACTTCGTGACGTACACTAGTGCACGAATGTGATAAAACATATTTCCATCGTAATTAAATTTTGATAACAAGTCTAACTGTAATGTGTACAATCGAGGATTAAATGGAAACTGTGTCTAATATTTGTCTTAGTCCGTAGGAATATTGTTCTTCACTTGTATTAACATTTTTCATTACTTGCACTAACATTGTAATTAAATTACAATTCATTAATTAATTAGCTGCGAAGGACGTAACTGTCTAGAGAATTGTAGATTCAGGGGCAAGTATTTGGGCATTATGGCTTTAGATAGAAAATATTTATTTTAAGCTGAAAAATCGAACAAGAAGAGAGCAATGGTTTTTAAAAGAAAAGAGATGATTAATCGAGAGTTACAGAAGTTAAGGAGGTATAATAAGGTAAAGATTGTTACGGGAGATGGTCGAATCGAATTTAAGCAATTTTCGAGGGAAAAAGAACCATCAATTTGAAATTAGAGCGGAAGGAAAGAGTTCTTTAAGCCCAAAAAAAGGGGAAGGAAACCGTAAAACCACTCGGTCAAGTAGATAAGGTCAACGTGATGTCAGACAGACGGTAATTCGCTCAAAGAGGATTCTAGCTCGCTTTCCACAGAGCGGAAATTTTCGAACGAGGTACTACGATAATTTCCTTGTAAATCCGGTTCCAAAATACTATTCCGAAGTAACTGAATCCTTTGAACGGTGGAATAATCAAATTGAAATGGTACTGTCGTATACAACTGGGACTTCTGTTACATTAGTATATCATAACTTTAACATTTTGTATTAACAAATCATTTTTGGTACAGCTGTAAATTTCCATGTAACGATGCTTGTACTTTTGTTAATTTGTAGACTCTCCCATATGCAAAATTAAATTTGCAAATTAGATTTATGTGTTCTTTGTTTGGAAATTGTTACAAGGTTAAATTTTGCAGGTACACATCTGGACCACTTTCTGTAATTATTTATGTTTGACAAATCTATTGGGAATTTATAAATTTCTAATTTGCAGATTGTGGGACTCCTAAGTTTTTACATTCTCAAATTTCTAGATAAACAAATCCTTGCATCTACAAATCCTCACATGTCCAAATCCTCATATCCCAAAATCCTCACACATGTCCAAATCTACTCATGTCCAAATTCCTACATCCCCAAATCCCTACACTCCCAAATACACAAACACAAATTTCAACAACCCTGTCTATCCCATTACAAAAATGACTCCAAACCCTTTCAGATCGTAAAAGCGTAAAGCTAAAGCATAAGATGAAAGCAGTGAAATTGAAGGCGAAACATAAAACGATTTTATGCCAATGTTAGTCGAGGTGTCAGATCGATAGGATTATTCGAATTTAATGCGGAAAGTTTTCATTAGATACGTAACGCGAGAAGCATTGCGCAACTTGGACGGAAACTACGTCATAGACTGCGCTTTAATTTCACCAGCTTCAGAAACACCAAACATGGATCGCGTTCGCGCAGCAGTGACAGCTGTACGCAACAGACTTCAAGAAACTCGAAATTCGTATAAGTAAGACCGAGTTTCCACGGAACTACAGCCAACAGTAAAAGTGTCACACTTTTATTAACAGCGCGATCCTGCTGTTGCTCGTCAAACAACTGGATGCGGTTTAACTTCGTGGTAACTTCATCGTATTATTCTATTCAACGTATGTCGGGTAACATTTTTACAATTCATATTATCACGTAATTTTGTAATAAATATTAATAAAAGCTTACAATTTTGGGGTGAATATTAATTGTGGTAATTTTATAATTTTGCATATGCAAAGTGTATGTGAATTAAACTTTTGCAATTTTATAAACTGGGTCGATGGAAAATATTAATTTTCACAATTACGTTAGTCATTTTGTTATTTAAAATTTTTGTATGATATTTTTCGAAGTATAGGGTCGCAGTAGTAAGTGACAATTGAATGACGTGAATCATTAGATGATCAATTGGTGCATATAGGTGGACTGTATTGGCACTTAAATCACATATGACGCACTCAAGTTACAGATGACGCACTCAAGCTACATAGGACGCACTGAACCTACACATGACGCACTTAAGCTCCAAGTGAGACACCCAGGCTATAAGTGACGCACTCAAGTTATAGATGACGCAGTCAAGCTACAGATGACGCACTCAAGATACTCATGACGCACTCAACCCACACATGCACGCTTCAAACGCGACAAATCTTACTCGAATTTTGAATACGCTTCAATTTGGAGTTTAAGTCCAATTATAATTTGCACGGTCAAGGATTGCCGAATACAAAATTGACATAACACTTCAACTTTTCTTCACTGTTTTAATATTGTAGCTGTGATCAGTTAGTTCCGACCGACGCACCTGATAAATCATAAGGCAAGGGGTTAAGAACTAAGTGTATGCGCGTCGCAGCGTCAGCAATATTAAGTGACGATTAAACGACGCGAATCATTAGATTCCCAACGAGTATAAGTGGACTGTATCTAAATAAATTTCACTTCGAACGACCAGACTTGATATTTGAAACTTGAAACTTGATATTTGATACATGGAACTTGATATTTGATACTTGAAACCCGATACCTGAAACCTGACACTTGAAACTTGATACTTAATTACTGAAACCTGATACTTGATACCTGAAACCTGATACTTGGAATTGATACTTAGTACCTGAAACCTGATACTTGGAACTTGATACGTGATACCTGAAACGTGATAGCTGAAACCTGATACCTAACAGTCAGTGTGAAAATGTTACCATCCCCATTATACTTCAGAAAAATGCAAGGAGGTATAAGATTACTTTACTTCCTTCTGTTACTTGTGTCAGAGGTTGAAAGTTTAGGTGTTGCAGTTGCAATAAAAATAACCAGAATCGAACGATAAAAGGTATGGTTTACGAAGGGGGTGTAGTTCGAAATAGGTATCTAAAAATGTCCATAAATCTTGATCGAAGAACAGTATCTAATTACAGGCAACAACAACGATTTCACAGAAACGTTTCCCCGTAACGAAAGTTCCTAATCCAAATCGAATTCAGTGGCGGACGCAATCTTCGTAGCCCCAATTTATTATCGTTCACCCCCCACCCCTCGAAAGCCGATACCGGGTTTAGTTGCTGGCAATAAAGTACGTTTCCCAAACGAAGTTAGTGCTACAATGAAAGCAACCGAGTCATCGTGGGGGTCTTCGTGAAACTAGAGACGGATATCCAATCGGGATATCGAAGGTCAAGGAGCTATCACGGCACAAATTGGGTTACCAAGGACGAAGCGTATCGAGAAAATCCTATTTCCAACTCGCTATTTTTCTCGTCCCCCCGTAACCAAAGCTCCCATGCTTTTTATACCGGATAACAGCCACGAGTTTGCCCCTGTTATCCGACTCGATCTTTGAATCCGCTCAACTTTCGACCAGTTTGTAACTAGCCACTCTTTTCCTCGACTTTACCCGGGAACCCAAATAAGCCCCCTCGTTATTTTACACACGTTTTGTAATTCGTTTCGGATAATACGATTCGCGTTTATTCCGTCCCCGGATAACGTTCGTTCAACCTTGGTTTTCTAAGTTCTAATTTTACCGTAATCTTTTCTTGCATGCATCTTCCCTTGCGGAGGTGAACGATCTTTATTACAATGTTATAGAATGGATGTTGTTGCTTTACTGAATAGATAAGATAATATTGCCTATTTTAAAATCATCAAGGTTGCAAATAACATTGTCATGAGTGATCCATTCTTCATATCACTTTTACAGTTGCTTTCACACTCCACATGCACTCCATGTGCATCACTCCGCATTTTTCGCCGAAGTAATAAATGTGAAATGTCCACAAGAACAGGTGAAAGTTGCAACTAAAAACAACTGGTGTAAAATGTATGGTTTAATAAAATAAATCCGTGATAGTAGGCGATAAAAACGTTTGATCCGGTGATTCGAAAATAAGTAGTCTATAAGGAAAGAAATGGCCCAGCTTTGTCGCTCATTTTCCCTGTCTATCGCGTTTCATCGTCCAAAAATCTGACGTCTGACGTTCGTGGCATTTTACCAGAATACGAAAGAATCTCTAAAACGCGGCCGGAGAAGCTGATCCGGTGGATTTCGTTTATGTGATTTCACGGGGAGAGAGACCTACCTGCCAGACGGCCGTACCGCTGAAACATTCGCTCCACATCGGTTTTGCTGCACTGAAACGTGTTTAGATTCCCGACGAAAACTCGGGAATTCACCGCCTGTGGGTCCTGCGAATTGGTCTGGTTGCCCACTTTGCTCATCTTCATTGCCTGAAACAGAAGAACGTAACGGATACAGTTTATCGCCGGACGTGATTTGACTGACGATTCATGTATGAAATATGATACACGGTTATTTCATCAGTTTCCGGTGGAACGGAAACCGCGATTGTTACGCGATATCTGGTCATTATTTATAGGCGTCCGTTTTTGCGTTCGACTTCTCGCAGTTTCTGTTCATTAACTTCTACGCAAACGTTACAACGATCAAATAATAGCAATCTCGCGTATTTTATAACCGTTTTGATTGAACGTTTGATTGAAAACTCCCATTTCTGGTTATCGGCTTTTTCATTAATTTTTATTGTAATACCCGGTGAAATACGCACGAACTTTTTTACGGACTCGTAACGCACCAGATACATTCATGACGCACTCGCGACGCATCGGTGACGTACTCGTGAGGAACATGACGCACCCATGACGCACCAGTGACGCATATGACGCGCTTGTGACGCACCCGTGACGCATATGAAGCACTCCTGACGCACTAGTGATAAATATGACGCACTCGTGACGCACCAGCGATGAAAATGACGCACCCATGACGCACCACTGACACAGATGACGCAACCGTGACGCAAATGAAGCACTCCTGACGCACTAGTGATAAATATGACGCACTCGTGACGCACCAGTGATGAACATGATGCACCCATGACGCACCACTGACGCAGATGACGCACTCGTGACGCACCAGTGATGAATATGACGCACCACTGACGCAGAAGACGCACTCGTGACGCACCAGCGATGAACCTGACGCACCGGTGACGCATATGACGCTGTCCTGACGCACCAGTGATGAACATGACGCACGCATGACGCAGAAAGCATACCACGACGCACTCGTGACGCATCAGTGACGCACTCGTGATGCACCCGACGCACCAGTGATGAACATGACGCACTCGTGACGCACCAGAAACGCGCGTAACGTACTCGTGACGCATCAGTGAAGAACATGACGCACTCACGACGCACATGATGCACTTGTGATGTACTAGGCATACCATTGAAAAACACATATAGTTAATTAAGTCGTGAAGTGTACGACACCGATTTTGCGTATCCTTATTTTTTGAAAAAAAATATGTGGCGGAATTTCAATTAACTGCACGCTGCTCAATTAACGCGTGATCATTCGCAAGATTAACTCATCTCGCAGAAAATCGAGGCAGTCGTGTCCCACGTGTACAATCCGTATCTCGTGTTTAGCATCGGTCTGACTAACGACCTCATTAATTTCGTAGCGATTATTATACCCGGCTACAAAACGGAACGTGGAGACGCTTCGAAACCGTGGTTTTTAGAATGGGATAGCAACGCGTTAATTAATTCCTCGCGTTTTCATACCGCGACACGGAACGACGCCGTCTTTGGATAATTTAAAGGACTCCCGCGAATCTCATTAAGTATCCGGCAGCTGACGACCAACTTGTTCGTTATCGATTCTCGTTGAAACTGTTGATTGTCCCCGAACGAACTGTTGCTGACGTCTGAACGTTTCTCCTTTCCAGAAAAAAACTGCTACGATATTTAAATATTCGCTTTGTCCCGTCGCGATACGAGTGAATCGAACGTAATATTTTTCACTACGTTTCACCAATATTCACTTTCTTTTCATTATTTTTAATGGTACGGAAATCCGATTATTTGTGCAACAATTTATGCTTTCGAATTTCATGTATTTCATGTGACAGGTTTCGGGTGCAGTTTCTGTAGTGGAACTTCGATGCACTTTTGCTGCGAAGTACGAGAAGATGGGGTGCGATAATTACTGCAAGAAGATGAACTGACTTAGTTTTTCACTTGAAATTTCTATTTTTTATTTCTACTTGAAGTTTCTATTTTTTATTTCCACTTCAATCTTGTACATTAAATTTATATTTTAATTATTAATTTTTATTTCCATTTTATTTTTAAGTTTCATACGTTTCACGAGTCAGTAGATTTTTTATTTCTACTTCAATTTTAAATTTCTTATTCCTATTTTATTTTTACATTACACATGCTTGCCAGTAGATTCCATTTCTACTTTAATTATGAATTTTTGTTTTTATTTTACTTTTTAATTACGCGTACGTTATACACCGGTAGATTTTTTATATCAACTTTAATTATTAATTCTTTCTATTTATTTCACTTTTAAATTACGTATAGATTAATATTAAAAAAAGCACGTGTCATTAAAAGCAAAATAATTTGACGATTATTAATCGTAAGTCTGAATAAATTTTGCAAATACAGCATTATTTGTAGTCTTCTAATTAGACTAAAAAGCGAACGATTTATCAAACTTGTATTTTCTACCCGAAATAAAAACGATCCGCAACGCGATAATAAATAAAAATATCCTAAATGGCTGTACGTCGTTTACGCACGGAAATCGTGCAGTTTCGAAATAACAGCGGTTGTAAGCTTTTGTTTCGAAGTTCCACCACCGTTGAAAATTGTAACACGCATACGGATTTTATTAAAATTTCGCGAGCTGTGTTCGGCAACGAATGCTCATTATACCATATGTATATAAACGGGTAAACCTTTGCCGAACAGCTTGGTGAAAATTTGCAAACTTCTATCCAATCAAGGGCTTTGTAGCTTTATAATGAAAGTTCTCGCTACTAATGCCAAGTAATGTATGTAGACGGTGTGCATTAATTTATCGTAGGTGTGATTGATATGGGGGTTTGTTTTTGTATGACTGTCGCAGCAGTAAGTGACGATTGAATAACGTGAATTATTAGATGATTAATTGGAGAATATAAATGGACTGCACTTAAATCATATATGACGCACTCAAGTCACAAGTGACGCACTCAAGTTATGAATGACGCACTCAAATTATAAAAGAGGCACTCAAGCTACACAGGACGCACTCAAGCTACACATAACGCATTCAAGTTACAAATGACGCACCCAAGTTTCACATGACGCACTCAAACTATAAATGACACACTGAGTGAGGCCCAAGCTATAAATGACGCATTGAGTTAGTTTCAAGCTACTCATTACCCACTCAGGCTACATAGGACGCACTGAATCTGCACATGACGCACTGAACCTACACATGACGCACTTCAGCTCCAAGTAAGACACTCAGGCTATAAGTGACGCACTCAAGTTATAGATGACGCAGTCAAGCTACTGATGACGCACTCAAGATACTCATGACGCACTCAACCCACACATGCACGCTTCAAACGTGACAAATCGTACTCGAATTTTGAATACGCTTCAATTTGGAGTTTAAGTCCAATTATAATTTGCATGGTCAAGGATTGCCGAATACAAAATTGACATAACACTTCAACTTTTCTTCTCTGTTTTAATATTGTAGCTGTGATCAGTTAGTTCCGACTGACGCACCTGATAAATCATAAGGCAAGGGGTTAAGAACTAAGTGTATGCGCGTCGCAGCGTCAGCAATATTAAGTGACGATTAAACGACGCGAATCATTAGATTTGCAACGGGTATAAGTGGGCTGTATCTAAATAAATTTCACTTCGAACGACCAGACTTGATATTTGAAACTTGAAACTTGATATTTGATACATGAAACTTGATATTTGATACCTGAAACCCGATACCTGACACCTGACACTTGGAACTTGGTACTTAATAACTGAAATCTGATACTTGATACCTGAAACCTGATACTTGGAACTTGATACGTGATTTAACTTAATGATCACACCTCGTACTCAGCAATCTGCTCTGTGATTTCTTTGAAATATGTACGAGTATTTATCTTTTACTGTTCGAATCGATTTCTTGATAATTGGGTTAAATCCAAGTAAAAATATATCGGTGACTCGTCTAATTTAGGATCCCGTTTTCATCTGTGACCTGTGCCAATTTTCGCGCTTTTCTGTTTTAGGAAGTCTGTTCAGAAATGTTAAGTAATTACATTACAGGAGATTTAAATCACGTTAAGCTACTTAATGATTTCTGGATTCTGTTAATCAACGTTAAAGTCATATTTTTTAATAATATTGCAGAGTCCGTTATAAACTTTGGAGCGGTAAAATATATACTCTCTATTAAGTATTAATGTTACAAATGTAATATATATAAAAATTTATAAATTTCGGACGTGTTAAAAATTTAGAAGTTTATTAATACAGAAGGTGAGGAATTTTTTAAGTTAAAAAATGAAAAGTTTGTACAGGAAGTTTGTAAAAATTGAGAAATTTCTGAATGTGAAATCTTTTAAACTTCAGAATGTACGAATTTAAAAATTTTTCTACAACCCCATTCAGGTTACTCAGTACATCATGTTTTATAACTAAAAGAAGAATATTAAATGGTAATGACTTTTAAATACAGTTTCCATAATATATGCAGCAATAACACAACACGTCATGAGGTACATAACTACCCCTTAATATCGGACTGATTGATGTCGGGGTAATTACTAGCGAACATGTTCAGTCAAGGGAAATTACTGGTGTTCCTAATTAGACACTTAGCGTGTCCGTTCAATAATTAACACAAACTATAAGAATTTGAATACAACAAAAACAATTTCACTTCGAATACAAATGCAACAAGGGTGCTTAAAAATTACAAATTTTACAGTATAGAAAATAGAAAATCCTGAAACCTGTCCAATAGTTTCTGGAAACCTTTCGAGATTGATTTAATGCGACATAAAAAATTTCATTAAACGTTAAAAACCGTGGACGGAACAACACCGTCGAATATCTCCGCGTGAAATCGTGTTAACCGAACGGTCGGTAGAACCGCGTTCAACTAAGCAGAAAAACAGAGTTATTTTATTTGGCGTTCAAATTCGAGCTACATTTTTTAGCGGCCGCTATCCCCGTCACAATTTGCCTCGATTTCAGGCCCGAGTTTCGCGACAAACGCTTTCAATGCGTTTCCACAAACGCTTTCAGCGTGCAGCTACATTTTCCGGTCACGTTAAGCTACGCTTAACGCGAATGATATTTCCGTCGTCGAAAACATTCGTGCGAAATCTGATCGA